ATATAAGACTAAAATGATGTCGTTTTGGCCTAAATTTAATTTTTAATACTAATTTTATTTAAATTAAATTTAAAAAATAAGCTAAATAATTTATTTATTTTTAAAATAGACCGACACCAGTGGTTGTGGCTAAGCTCTCGCCAATGGCCACCGCCACAGCCCCCAGGAAGGGCTGGTGGAGGTCGCCCAGGCCTTCTCCAAGCGCAATGACCCTTATCGGCCTCAGGTGAGGCTCCGCCGGTCTCTAACAAGGACGTACAAGACCCAATCCAGGGGAAGGCGCGACCCTCATCCAGCATCCCCCGCCCCAAGCGAGGCCTCGCCAGCCACGGGCGAGGGCCGGCTTGATCAAATTTGGGGCGAGAGTCACACCTCCCCCCCCCCCCCCCCAGATTGGGGCCTGTAGGCCCTCACTCAGTGCCGACGAGGGTCACCGGGCATTGGGAAGGCCCAAGCAACTTCCGCCGGCCCTTCCTGGCGATTGTGGCGGCAGCCACCAGCTAGAGCTTAGCCACAGCCGCTGGTTGAGGATCTATTTTCTTTTTTAAATCTTTAAGCTTTTTTTCTAATTTAATATATTTTTTTAACTTTTTCTAACGAGGCCAACAAGAAGATACATGTTTTCCAAATATGTAGTTTTAGACTGACTACATCTATTCGAGTTTATACTACTCTGCTAATACGTGTACTAGTTTTTCCTTTACTTTCACCTACTAAAACGATAGATACATGTTTACCAAATTCTCCTCTACAGATTCTACGGATGTTATCACTCAAAATCAAATTTCACAACTCATCAAACGTTAAGCTTGTTGACATAGAGGAATTACTAACAGTAGTAATAGTAGTATTCCAACTATCAGTAATGAGGATAATAGAATCAAAGCACATACCTCATCTTCGAAGTCAATCTCAACATAACTAAATTGACTAATAATCATATTGAATTCATTAATGTAATCAGTGACCAACGCACATTCGCCCATCTTTAAGTTAAATAGACATCGCATTAAGTAGATATTGTTGATCGCAAATGACTTCCTGTACATATCCGACAGGCCTCCATCAATTCCACAATGGTATTCTCTTTCACAATGTTAAATGCGACTTTATGAGCCAACATCAACCAAATAATACCCAACGCTTATCTATCCAGCAATTCCCATTCAGCTTGCTTCATTGACTCCGGTTTCTCCCCGGACAGGGGTAAGTCCAAATTCCTTTAATATAGTTAATCATCAATCTGCATCTTCTAGAAATTAAAATCATTTCCATTAAATCTGTCAATTTTCACATTTCCTTCTTCCATGACCATTGATTTACTTCAACTTAGCCAAGCCTAACTTTGATACCAATTGTTGCAAAAGTAAGCGATCAAACAATAAAATAAACAGAACAAGAAAATATATCGGACACTAGATTTACGCGGTTCGATCATAATGACATACGTCCACGTGGAGAGCAACAAAGAATTCAACTATAAATCAAGCGAAACAACTGAGATTACAGCCACATTCTAGTTAGTCAAACAATCTCAGTGTTTCCTAGCCCCCAATTACACCCAATAACTCACACAGTATTTAGCTCCACAATTCCTCAGGAAATAATCCCTCAATTTCAAGAAGGAATTACACAAATCTTATCACAAGATTTAGTTGACTTCAACACTAAAAGCTCTCATGATGTAATTCAAGAAGAAACCTCTTGGATACTCTTCACAAAGAACATCCTCTTCTTATATAGGCAAGAATTGAATCTAAAATAGAAAATCTCTTTTTAGGAAACCTTCTCCAATTAAGAAACCTATTTGAATTAGGAAAGTTTCATTTTCGAGTTCAAACTCGAGACATATTTTATTGTCATTCTAATGTGATGCTTAACTAAAGCCGCTACATTTATAGGAAAAAATGAGAGAGAGAGAGAGAGAGAGAGAGAGGTGTGAGGGCCATAGCGCACAGTGGCCTCCTCTTGGCCTTCTTCATGGGCTGTACATCTTTCAAGTTCAACGATCTAACTAGACGAGAATCGAGTGAAATCTCTCTAAAGGTGAGTTTGTTTAAGGGAAAGTGTTTCCCGGGAATCCGTTTTCCGGACTTTCACTCGTTCAGTTCGCCGAAAATGATTAGTCAACTGAAAACACTTTCCGGTTAAGGAAAACATTCATGTATAAAATCAGGAAAGTGAATTCCCTAATCTAAGAAGGTGAAAACACTTTCTAGAATTGCTTCCCTTGACTTTTTTAATATTTTATTCTTTTCTTTCTTTTTTTCTTTTTCTTTTTTATTTTAAAAAATAAAAATATTAAAAAATTTAAAATTATTTTTTTGCCTAAGATAAAATCATGAGATTGAAATCATTTTCCAAATGAGATCCAAACACCAGAAAACGTTTTCGATCACATATCACCAAATAAAGGAAAACTAATTATTTTCCTGAAAAATGATTTTCCGAAAAATATTTTCCAGAAACGTTACGTTTTCGGTGAAACAAACGCACCCTAAAATTCTATCGCTTATGGTCTTTTAACCAGTAGAATAGCCAAAACCAAACGAAACCAATCATCTCTAAGGTTTTTTCCTCAAATACCATCGCTTCTGTTCCTACCCTTCAAAGAATCGACACCTAATTCTTTCGAATTCCCAGTAACCAATTACGTTTTCCTCGGATTTATTATTAGAGAAGTTGCTATTGCCATGTATGGCATCATTTTGCATGCGAAGCCCAATCAGTGGTAGGATTGACCCCCCACCCCCCTAACCGTTCCTTTTGTCCTCTAATGCACTTACAAAATATATTTGCCGTATCGCCAAATCAGGATCTGATCATGCGTAGGCGTCACAACCCCGGAAGCAGAATTCAAAACTCGGGGGATGAGATGAGAAGACTTTCGAAAGAAAGGCATTCTGAAAGTCCGACGACCAAGGAGCAGCCACCATCTTGGGTCCGCCATGTGCGCGTCCTTAAACTTGCCGCATCTGGGTTGAGGAATGCTGCACAGATTCGAATAAAATCCGATCGCCTGAAGATGAATATATGACCAACAGATTCTGGGCATCTTTTTTCTATCATGCCAATGTTTGGCTGGCCTAGACTCTGGCTGGTAATGTGAACGAACTTGCATTTTTGCTGCTAAAGCACGAGGGAAAAATGCCAAAAACTCCATTGTCGTGGGAGTAGATCAAGTCTCTTGACACGTCCCTTTTAACCAACTTGCAGACATTGTTTATATGCCCCCAGGAAGATGACCGCTTTGTCTTCGTTCAAGAAGAGCGTTTCATGTCTCTTCAGTTGATTTCATTGCCTCCAGAAGACAATGGACACTCTCTCACCAACTACTTCTCAGTTCTGTCTCCATTCGTGACAAGATCTTGTCATCTCCATACGAAGAATAATGGGGCTTCCATTATATGCTTTTTGTGCAGGCAACCGCAGGGTTGACTTCGGGGAGAATCTACTTACATATATACTTCGTCCTTTAGTAATAATACATTGCAGAGGGCTCTTTGAATAAATTTAATGAACGGGGCGGCACGGCAAGACGACAAAAGACGAAAATGCGACTAAGCTCAATGGAACAGCCGTCTTCATCATGAGGAAGGTGAAGTGATCTGTCTTTGACTAGATTTTAAAAATTGAACGTGTTTAAAATTGGATGTGGCAGATGTCATATAAAAGCACGCTGGTTCCTCTGCATCATCTCTTGATAATGGAATTAATTCAGGTCCAAGCATTATTAGGCGCTGACTATCTTATGATATAACATGGTTTTCTACGCAATGACATTTTCACCGGATATATATCACACATGTATGAGTTAGGTCGCAGTTGGTCAATCGCCGAACAGATGATTATGTGGAGCCAGTCGCGCACATTCAGTTCCCAGTCCAAAGAACTAGTGTTATGAATTGTCAATTACAAAGGCAGTCCTTTGAGATACTGTGAATGAAGAACTATGATAGTTTGTAACTCTTACACACAAACTCAAGTTTATATAACAATCTTCTCCGTGACTCTATAACTTTGCGATGATCTTTCTTCAAGATAAGTTTGATACCGTATATTTGGCATTTTTCTCTCATGTTGCGGTCATGCGATATTGTAGGTCAACTCTTAGGCTGAGCCCACCTCTCTGTTCTCATGCACCCACGCGACTATAAGTTCCTTGTGCACGCCCGGGAGGAATTCTTTCAAGTAGCAATTGAAGTTGGAACAGATGATGCCGTGCTCCTTGAGGCGCAAAACCCCGTTTAGTTAAGACCAATAGTTCGTCTTCTAAGTATCTTCATAAGAACTGAAAATCGGGCTTCTTCTCTCGTGCCCCTAAGTTAGAAAAAAAAGACTCTGAGAAATCACGCGGTATAAGCTTGGAAGGTCACAAAGAATGTCCATTTATGAGAGGATCAACATTAATTCTTATGTGTCCCTTAAATTACAATTCGAAAGGTTCATGATTCTATCAATTTTACTTCAAAGTAGGTTTGTCCATGTATTTGTGGAAAATAAACTACATCGCTATGGCTCTTGATGTCGGATAGGCATACTTGTATAAAACTTCAGAACAAGCCGAAATGCTTCACCAATATGTCCCACCATCCTAACTAACGATTAATCATTTTGATAGCCTGTACCATTGCTGCAGTTTCTAAGACAGGACAAGATCATATAATAACGTAATGTGGTAAGCACCGGCTCAACTAACCAAATCAACGAATGAATCGCCTTCCGAGATAGTTTACATTGCCATGGGAATAAGATCGAGTTTGAAACCCTTAACAAAATGAAAATGGACACCTCAGGCTGGTGTCTGGTACAGGGGAAGTGAAAGCGAAAGGTTTTGCATTATGGAACAAACAAAGACCCGGCAAGACTTCTGAAACTCGGAGATGCTTTCTGATTCTTTCCTGTTCTCGGTTTTGTCAGTTTGTAGAAATGACAATGAGCGCATTTCTTGTCTATATATATTGACGAAAAGGTTCCCTAGAGAAAGCAACATAACTAGAGCGTCCGCACATCACCTCAGCAACCACTCCCTTAAGCCCTTCCTCGCTCGAAATGCAAGGCGAAAGCTCTTTGAAAATGGTAAGCTTCCCGTCGAATTCCGGTTACGATAGTTGCTAAAGTATAACGCCCTATTCCATGGCTTACTCTAGGAAAATCTGACATTTAGAGAGTAATGTTTTTCATAATGGACGATTCGCAAACTTAGTGTCAGACTGTCGACCAAACACTTAGGCTTGTCTTTGTTCTGTCCTGATAGGAAAAGCATAGGGATCGTAAGTCCCTTCCGCAGAAAGAAGCGAGACAGGGAGGCAACCGGGCCGTTCTCTTTGTATATGGTAATTTACAGACACAGATCCTCATTCTCAAGTTTGTTTATCTGAATATCTCCAACTCCGAGTCCGACTGTATACGTATGTGTGTTTTTGATGAAGCGACTGAAGGGCTAGAGAACATGGCGTTCGTATCAAACGCGGTGAGCTTGGTGACCTACTTTTACGGTTACATGAACTTTGGCCTGACCAAATCGGCCACCACGCTTACCAACTTCATGGGGACCTCCTTCCTCCTGGCCCTCTTCGGAGGCTTCATATCCGACACCTATTTGTCCCGTTTCAAGACCTGTGTCCTCTTCGGCTCCATCGAGTTGATGGTATGTGCTGCTCGTGCATGACTCTGCGCACATATGTAGAATGTTCCTGATGCACATAAACGGAGCGGGTTCAGAGCTGATAAGTAGTAAATACACTACTCAATTAATGCCTGGAAGACCCTTGTCATGTTGTGATCGGTCCCACGTCCTAATTAAGTTATCAATATCTTATTAAGTACCTAACTTTGTTCTTTGTTTTTGACATGAGTAACAGACACATGGATATGTAATTGTTACATGCAATGGCACAGTGAACAGACATCAATCTAACTTTTCACTTTTGTTATCCCACAGGGTTCTATTTGACAGTAGTTTTGGAAGGATTTGGCCGGCTATTTGTATAAATGAGAACAATATTAAACTCATTCTGATAGACCGATCCAATCATGACTAAAAAACAAACATGGTATATGGTAGAACTCAGGTAACATATGATTGAGTCATTGACCGATTGGTTTGTCATGATTGATTCTTGTTAGAGGAATCAGCTGTCAGTGCTAACTGATAACTTTGGCAAAAATTGTAGTACAGTTAGCAGCTTGCTGAACCAAGTTAACATCTGTTTTATATTCAAGGTAGCTGTGCTCTTAATCTAACAAACGTAAGTTTTTGCCCTTCTGACGTTGCATCAGAATATTTTTAAGAAAAACGATATTGTCTACCTAATACACGCTCACATGCTAAGAGAAATAGATTGCAGTGTGTCAAGAATATCTTCTGTTATTTGAACTCGAATTCGAATTTGGGACGAATCGCAACTTAAACCAACTCATCCAGAGCGTTTCATTTTAGTGAAATTCTAAGGCATTGAGTAATGAGCCTAGGCGATCAGAAGTGCGAAAAACATGGATGATTTCAGTTTTGGTGATTGCTATTATAAACAGGGGTATGCCCTGCTAGCAGTACAAGCGCACTTCCACCAGCTGAGGCCGATTCCTTGCAAAGGCGTTGTGCCAGACCATATGAGCCAATGCCACGCTGCCGACGGCACCCAGGCTGCTATACTCTACACGGGCCTGTACCTAATCGCGTTCGGGACGAGTGGGGTCAAGGCCGCTCTGCCTTCACTTGGGGCTGACCAGTTCGACGAGAAGGACCCGAAGGAGGCAACCCAGCTGTCCAGCTTCTTCAACTGGTTCCTGTTCAGCCTCACCATCGGGGCCATTATCGGTGTCACTTTCATCGTGTGGATAAGCAACAATCAGGGCTGGGACTGGGCTTTCGGTGTCTGCACCGTCGCTGTTCTGTTCGCCTTGGTGTTTGTGTGCATGGGGAAGTCTCTCTACAGGAACAATGTGCCCAAGGGAAGTCCCCTCGTTCGGATTATGCAGGTATGAGAATAATGATTGGAGAATTAATCTGCCGGTCCTATGTCTCTCATAGTAAATTGTCGTTCGGGTAGATGACACAACATCCACGGAAAGTGCTATTGCAGGGTCTTGATGTAAATTTTCGAACATTGAATGGTGGCTATGTTCATAAGAAAGCATGAATCGTCTCTGCGAGTTCAGAGTGGTGATCTTAATGTATTTTTATTGAATTCAGGTACTAGTAGTTGCCATCAAGAAGAGAAGTCTCCCAATCCCAGCGATGACAGATGAATTGCACGAGGTGCATGACAGAGAACTGGGGGCGAACGATGAAATTCTTCCCCGGACAGACCAATTCCGGTACATCTTCGTTGCATTTACCTAAGAGACTCGTATATATTGCCTTTTCACGTTGCAGTTTGGCTTCTGCCAGTAAGCTCACCCTGGGTACCCAACGAATTAAATTGCAGATTCTTGGATCGAGCGGCAGTAGCTCCGAGTCCCGGTAGTGGATCAACTGCTGAGCCCTGGAGCCTGTGCACAGTGACACAAGTCGAAGAAACGAAGATATTGCTCCGCATGCTTCCAATCGTACTCAGCACGGTCTTCATGAACACTTGCCTGGCTCAGCTCCAGACCTTCACGATCCAGCAAAGCACAACCATGAACCCCCACATCGGGAGATTCAGTGTCCCAGGCCCCTCAGTCCCAGTGATCCCCCTGCTCTTCATGTTCATCCTAGTCCCGATATACGACCGCATCTTTGTCCCCATTGCCAGGAAATTCACTGGTATCCCCACCGGCATCCGACATCTACAGCGGATCGCTGTAGGGCTAGTGCTCTCGGCCATTTCCATGGGGGTGGCTGGAGTGGTGGAGACCCACCGCAAGTCGGTGGCAATCCACCACAACATGGTGGATTCCACAGAGCCCTTGCCCATGAGCATGTTCTGGCTTGGCTTTCAGTACGCAATATTCGGAGCAGCCGATATGTTCACTTTAGTGGGTCTGCTGGAATTCTTCTATGCAGAGAGCTCAGCTGGGATGAAGTCACTGAGCACCGCCATTTCGTGGTCCTCTTTGGCATTTGGGTACTTCCTAAGCACGGTGGTGGTCCAAGTGGTGAACAAAGCAAGCGGCGGATGGCTCGCGAGTAACAATCTGAACCGGGACAAGTTGAACTACTTCTACTGGCTATTGGCAGGACTAAGCGTTGTGAATTTTGGGTTCTATATGCTGTGCGCATCTTGGTATAGATACAAGAAAGTGGACACGAAAGGAGCAGCAGATGGTTTGAATTTGTCAACTGTTGATTCTAAAGCAAAGGGCTTGACAAGGGGTGATACTAATTCAAAGACGAGCATCACAGCGTAGGCTCTAGAAATTTAGCTTCACTAAGTTCATTAAAATACCATTGTCCTTTACATGTCATATGGTCCATGGCTTCATCACCACCATTATACTACTCTCGAACTGTTTCACTCCGTGTATACACCTCTCAGATCCGCATTCATTTGTTTGTTTTCTTCTTTTTTGTGGTGGGGTAAAGAATGATTGTATTCATGAATCTCTTGCTTCAGAGAGAAAGCAGAGGCAAGCTCAAGAACTTCATTCATGCCGTGGCCGTAAAGCCCTTTCCTAACTACTTAGAAAAGTATTAATCGTGCTTATTTCATGAAGAAAAATGTGACATCGCCTGCATGAATTACGTTTGGAAAGTTGAACCGAGACATGCGTACAGTTAAGCTGATACATACATACATACATAATACACATACACAAGGACATATACTAGGCCAAAGTGTGGTGAAGTTTCAAGCCAACGTATGCAGGCCACAATTAACCTAAGACATGACAAAAGTAAAATAACGAGCAATCCAGCAGAACAGCTGCGAGCTGCTGAAGAAAATAATCTACTGATCCCCTCAAGCTGTTCATGAATTTTTACAGCATTCTGAAGAAAACAATCAAGGAACACGTGCCTTCCATCAGGAAGCACAAACATGGGGTTTGCATTTCGATTGGTGTACATTAGATCTTTCACCACACAGAGGATTATGCACTATACAGAATGCACTGGAAAATTTCTCAGTTTATACACTTCAAACACAGATGAACATAGAGCCACTTACTGTTCAAATCTTAGAATTTCCCCACTCCTCTCTTATAAACGTAACACAATGTCATTACAGGTAGGAAAAAATTTGCAACACTGGCTAAGTAAACCAATGAACAAACTATTGGATCAGTCCCTCTCTTTCTTTTTCTTTTTCCATTTTTTTTGGGGCTTTCGGTTTTTCTCTTTTTTTGGATCTTTTTTTCTGTTCATTTTACTTCTCACTATTCACAAGATGGACGAGACAATCCATCAAAAACAGGCAAAAGCAAGCTGCCTGCGCAAGGTCAAAGGAAGACTCCAATATGTTCACATATGCTCAACAATGAGCCAGAAAGAGTGGAGAATAATTGTAAAAATCACCACCTAAATTAGATAAGGGGTCAAAAGCAATTGCCCTTTCAGCGAGCATGAGGCTATGTCAGGAAACAACAACATCTTCTTTTGCAGATTGAGGATCATATCTAGTGTCCGAGACCCTGGAGGGAGGCCAATATCGGAACACTGATCTGCCAACAATGTTCTTGACAGGCAGAGGACCCCTGCAAGTATCAAAACTTCAAAGGTCAGAATTCACATTAATCAAAATCAAGCGAAGGACAATCGAATACACAAATATACAACAAAATGATAATCACTCTGCTCAACTACGAAAACTAAACAGAACCAAGCTCCTAACATTCTGAAAATAATTAACTAATAAAAGTTGCATACAATAGTTGCAAAAGTCTCTATTCCCCCTAACGCAATTTACTTGATTACCACTTTACACAAGAACAAGTTGAAATTAGCGAAGACACAAAACTCACCAGTTATGGGAGTCAAAACTGTTGTTCCTGTTGTCTCCCATTACAAATACATATCCTTCAGGAATAAGCTGCAATTGAAGAGAAACAGTCAGAAAACATGATCAAAATGCCGGTTGTGTGATGCTATTAGAAAATTAAGTTGGTACAGCTATAAATTAGTATTACCATTGGTTCCATCTCATAAGAAAGTGGCTCTAAGATGAAATCTTCATCTTGAGCAACGCCGTTCACCAATAGTTTACCATCGTGAACCTACAACACAAAAACCACCAGGCATTCGGAATTAGTACAAAGAGAAAAGTAGTTATTACATGCATGAGAGTGGACAGGAGGTTATATTTAAAAAAAAAAATAAGTCGGAATAAAAGGGGCAGGATTGAAGATAAAGACTTACTTCAACATAGTCCCCAGCCTTTGCCACAATTCTCTTTATGAATACATCGGCTGAACTGAAGCCAACTTCCTGCACGCCACAAACAAAGCAAGAAACTAATAAGCAACGTGCAAATTTTTGCAGAGCAATCACAACTTGGTTAAAAGCAATTTTCCAAACATCACTAAAAGAAACCTGCAATATTGGTGGTGCCTTGAATATTACTATATCCGAAACTTCTGGCTTTCTGAAAAAGTATGAAACCTGGTGCCAACAGAAAGCAAACACCAACAAAACAAATCAGGTTAGTATCACTCAACACATTAGGTCTTGACACAAAACAGAGATCCATGAATGCAAAACCTATGCAAGCGGACGCAAATTGCAAACTTCATGAGATACAGTCCACGTGGAATGCATAGATCAATAGCAAAATATGAGGAATTAATATTCAGTTACCGCAAGTTCATAAATCTAACTTGGAAGGAAGAAACTAAAGAGCCTATAATCATCTACAAAATTCCTCCAGTGCTAAAGCCAAAGACCCATTTCCATCCGCTGCTGTACAAACGATGCTCGCCATATCACATTAAAATTATACGCTACATGTCGTTACCGCTCTAATCGGGTCCAGTGCCGCAAAATTTCAGTCGTCACCACGATCCCAACAAGTACAAATTAGATAGCCAAACAGAAAGAGACTAATTGAAAGGAGAGCCTTACCTTCTCTGCCAAAATGCGGTCACCTACATCCAGAGTAGGTTTCATGGAAGTAGAAGGAATCGACCTTGGCTCGGCCAAGAACGACCTGAACATCAGACTCACGGTCAAAGCCGTGAAAGCCGCCTTAGCATCCTCGGAGTAATCCCCGAGCAGCCGGGCCAACCACCCGCTCCTTGCGGCCGAGTGCCTATGCACCTCCTGCATCTTCATGCACTCGCCATCGTCGCCATCGCTGTTCTCTTTCTCCCAACGCACCGTCCCTCCCTTATCCACATCGTTACACGCCGAGCCCGGCAACGCCTCGTTGCAGGGCAGCCACTTCGACCCCTCCAAGAAGGGGATTATCGAGGACGCCTTGATCGGCGAGATCCCGAAGATGCCCATCGAATTGGCCGAACACGAATTCGAGGACAGAGATCTCATCGCCGAGATCAAGCCGACCACGATCGGGCTCCGGCACTCGGCCCCGAGGGCCTCGGCCGCGAGCGTCGAGTACGAGGAGCAGCCGCCGCCCGCCGCCGCCGCCGCACGGCTCGAGAACCCGAACCCGGGCCTCGGGGGGCTGAACTCGCTGGGGTCGGGCTTCTGCCCCGGGCAGAGGACGCGGGACCGGACCCAGCACTCCTGGAGGAGCCGGCAGCTGTTGAGGCGTACCCCGGCGGTGGAGGCGATGCTCTGCACCATGTAGCCGGAGTAGCCGAACGTGACCCGGATCGCCATATTCGCTAGCTGTAGAAACCAGATGAGGACCTGATACAGACTTCTCTCGTTGACTAAACCCAAGTGCAAGAAGAATTCTACTGAGCAATCAACGCCATCCCTAACGCACGAGTCGAGGAACCGGAGGAGGTGCCGGCGAATCGGGCCCGGTCGCCGAGATCGGAGGGAAGGAACGGGAGCGACGGCGAGGGCGAGGGCGACGGGGGGAAATCAACGGTTCCTGGGTATCGGAAAAGATGGGGTCTTTGCGACGAATCCGATGGCGGGCGATGATGGGTCGGGGCGTCGAAGGATCGAAGGCGGGAGCGGTTCCGCTTTCTCTCCGGGAGACCGAGAGAGAAAGCAGAGGGAGAGAGAGAGAGGAAGGGGATCGGAGGCTGTGAAGATATGGCAGCGGAAAGAGGAAAAGTGCGGGGGAAGATGACGATGACGAGGTTAATAAGCGGCGGCTGGAGCTGAGAGGTTCCCAGAACTGGGTCCGAAATTGGATTTATTTACGGGGAGAACCAGGCTGGCACGCGCGATGATTGGCGTGACGGCCCGGGGTGTTTCGGGTAAAGATGCGACTGTTCTGCGGGTTTTTTTTGTTTGTTGACTTTGACTGGGAGTGTCGGGGTCTGTTGCGCCTTCCGGCTACTTTCCTCCGACGTCGCTGGCCCCGAGAGGCCGGGAAAGTCGCCGGCGTGTCGAAAGACGAGAATGCCCCCGCTCACATTCGCTGATTTCTGGTGGGGGCTGAGGGCGAAATCGGGATTACACTGGCATCCACCTCGAACGTTGGTTTTTCTTATTTGAATAAACGCCGAAGCTTGCGAAATAAGACTTGCGTTCTATATATGATTGATATCACGAAAAACTCCAAACTGACACATTTATGATAATTTTATTCCGAATTAATTTTTTGATCGCCAAAAATCTCAAACTGATATATCTAAGATAATTTTATTCCGAATAAATTGTTTTAATAATTTGATGAGGAAGAAAATCTTTTTAACATTTCTCTAAATTCGAAAGCAACGCACCATCCAACTCATAGCAACGAATAAATCTTGGTTCATGCTCCACGGGGAGAGATATTTGACGGGCGAATTTCAAAGGACTCGGACAAACAATTTGATCTGTTTTTTGTTTGTATTTGCTTTCCTTAGGTCTAGCTTTTAATTTTTACCCTAAAATTTTGGAAACGACAAAAGTTTATTTTTGTAAAATAAAAAATAATTGTATATGACGATATCACTATGTCTTGAAAGATTTCCAATCACCAATCTATTCAAAAATATTTTGGACACACCATGATGTTTTTAATTGGGCCTAATTCCAAAAAAAAGCACCAATTTTAGATCGAGGGACAATTCTGGCCAGAACTTTTTTTTGTCCCGTAAAAAAGCACCAACTTTAGGTCGAGGGACTTTTTTTTATCCCGTAAAAAAGCACCAACTTTAGGTCGAGGGACAATTCTGGCCCGAACTTTTTTTTGCCCCGTAAAAAAGCATCAACTTTAGGTCGAGGAACAATTCTGGCCGGAACTTTTTTTTGTCTTGTAAAAAAACATCAACTTTCACTTAAATCCTAAATTTGGTATCCATTGACTTAGAACCATTGATTATCCAACTTGACTATTCCACCTTAGCAATAAATCCACGTGGCTTGCTGACTGGATTTAAAACATTATTTATTGTCTTATTCTCAGAGCCACAGCTTGAAGAATAATAGTAAAACTGTTTATCTCATTCACTTCACCGGCAAGTCAAAAATATCTCCAGATTGAATTTCTCTAACTAGACTTCGTCGTTTTTTCGTAATCTAAAGCTGTAGACCACCATCCGTCAACAGACGTCATAGGCGAGATTCGTCAAGCTCACCACCAAAACCTTTTTCCTCAAATAAAGGTGACTTCAGATAGAAAGTCAACGGGGGGCCAGATTTGGGATTAGCGTGAAATTTGGTGATTTTTTATGAGACAAAAAAAAGTTGAGACCAGAATTGTCTCTCGACCTAAAGTTAGTGCTTTTTTATGCGATAAAATAAAGTTCGGGCCAGAATTGTCCCTCGACTTAAAGTTGGTACTTTTTTATGGAACAAAAAAAAGTTCGGGCCAGAATTATCCCTCGACCTAAAATTGGTGCTTTTTTTTTTTAATTAACCCTTTGTAATTGTTATCTTTTGGACATTTTCCCGACTACCGGAAAAGTTCAAATCAATCTTAGCCATTACAGCAGACTGAGCAAGGGAAGAAAATGGATTATTGACTAAAGCTCCGCTTGTCCCATAAAAGAAATTAAAAACTTTCTTCGTCTTGCGAAAAATAAATATTTAAAAAATATTTTCCTAAAACCGATATTTTGTATCGATTAAAATAATTAGTTAATAAAAAATATTTTCATTTGTAAGTAAGACAAGCGATCGTTTTAAAAAAAATATTTTCCGATTTATTTATTTTTCGCAAAACAAAACGGAGCCTAACAGCACCTATGAACGAGCAGCAGGCCATGTCGGCTTGGGCGCGACGTGGCCCAAAAAGACGGAGCTCACCCCATGTCATGCCCAAGAAGGAAGGGGTCGAGCCTAGCATGGTCCCTTCACTTCCAAGCCAGGGCGCGGGCAGTGGCGGCATGTCATGCCCAGACATCGTGAATTTCCAACCAAGGTTCTACCACGTAAGAGATGGGCTACCCTCCCGAGAAAAACCTCCCTTCAAGCGATTGCAGCGCCGGCCTTGCAGCAAAGAACATCCGGTGCTCGGCGGGCATCCCAGATCAAGACCGGGGACCCGGCGGCGGGAAAAATCTCGTCCGCCCGCAAGTGGCCGGAAAAAAAAAAAAACTATCCAGTGAATTCGGAGGAGAGGGTGGGGCCAATTCCCAAATAAAACGAAATGGATGGTCCCCCGGAGGGGAAAAAAAAAACTAAAAGCTTTGAATATTTGCTTCATTGGCGACCGTGAATCTCCTGCTCGTGACGCAAGCACATACGTTGTCCATCGATGTTGCCTCTGAATTTCTTCATTTTCTATCGATAATAAAGTCGTGGAAGCTAAAGCTACTTTATCCAATTATCAAATCCCCCCTTGTGTTCAATTCAACGACATTGTCATATGCTTAATCGAAGAAGCTGCCACGACGTCATCCCAACCAACATCAGTCCTGTCTTCCTTGCTGGGTTTGACTACCCGACAAGTTGGTTTCGGTCAACGGTCCAACACTGGCTTGTTTATCTTCTCTCGACTTTGGGGACGAGCAAAACGGATCGACTTAATCGGAAACCGCCTAGACTGAATTCGGTCCCATTTCTGGGGGTGCCGTGCCGCCGGACCGATTATTTTTTTTTATCAAATGTCTCACGCACACCTCCTCAATTCACGCTTTATCCGGACCCGGGAGCGATCAATCCTCTAAATGCTCCAAATCTAGCCAAACGAAGCCAACCTGCTCTCGCTAACAAATGACAAAAAGAAAGTGACCACGGAGATGGAGAGAGACTACAGAGACGGGAGGGTAAACATTCAAGGTGGGCGACTCAGAACTGGTCGAAATCACATTGGCCAGGATCTCATCGTTTAGGACTTCATATGAATCAAAGAGGTAATACACGTGATTTGAAAAACCCACACTAGCCAAAGACGGGATGACAAACGAAGGTGGGGCTTGCATATGAATACACAGGAGTGGGGGAGACCAAGCGCCATTCGAGGTGGGACAAGAGCTATCTAGGGACCCATGGAACTATTCTCTTGAGTTATGTTTATGCTTAGCAAGCACGGTACGTCGCCGCTAGTTAATTATTGGACTATAAAAAATTTCTTGAAGATGGAGAGCAAGGCATTCTCTCCTATGAACTCGACCGGTTCCATTGGATCGCCGGAAACCTGACCGGACCGGACCGGTCCCCGATTTCGAAAACTGAGAATCGGTCCCTTTGGTTCGGTTCCCGATTCTGGAGTGGGATCGGACCGGGAACCAATCACCCCTGATCTTGAAAAATTTACGCCAAACCCGGAATCGAGAAAATTTGTACCAAAAAATCTTGAATTTATCGTACGGCGGTCAATTCAGTCCCGAAAATGCCTTAGCGTGCGTGACCTTTTCACGCCGATGTTTTTAGTGTATTTTTATAAGCTCCTATAAGGTCTTGAACCCACCCTATTTTTTAGTGATCATCTTTTGCATGCACATACCATTTAAAAATACATTATGAGTGTGCAATATTTGTAATTTGACCCCTTTTTTTTCATTGAGGACTTTTTCCCTCTAACTTAATTATGTTTCTTTTCCCTATAATATATTATTAGTCCTATTAATATATATTCATCAAATTTTAACAATTTTGACATCATAACATTATTATTGATGTTTAAATATCTTATTTTAATGCTTTTATTAATTCGCATTTTTTTTTTCGATTTTTGTACGGAGTGATAAACAAGAGATTTTATACAAGAAATAGATTGAAAATACACCTTTACCCCTTAGAAGTCATTGCACATGCTATCGGGCAATGTAACGGAGGATATTAGCGGCCGTAACAAAACAAAAGTTTGGCGAGGTAAAATGTGTAACATTTAAAAAAGTTCCGGGTAAATGTGTACCGATCGCAAATATCCGGTGGAGCTTCCGAGTAATTCCCCCATTTTTCTTTTTTTCTTGATCTCTTTTTTTTTTTTCTTCTCTTGTTGGGCTATGTCTTTAGGCCCAACTATTCAACGTACAATCGATAAGCGAATATCTTATCTTTGAGCCCCCGGTTGCTATCCAGCATATCCACCATCGTAGGGGTGAGATCCCGGAGATGCTCTGCACCATGTAGCCGGGAGTAGCCGAACGTGACCCGGATCGCCATAACCGCTAGCTGTAGAAAGGGACCAGATGAGGACCCGATACAGACTTCTCTCGTTGACCAAGCAGACAACGCCATCCCTACGGAACGAGTCGAGGAACCGGAGGAGGTGCCGGCGAACCGGGCCCGGTCGCCGGGATCCAGAAACAACGGCGGCGGCGGCGGCGGCGAAAGATGGGGTCTTTGCGGCGAATCCGGTGATGGGCGATGATGGGTCGGGGCGGAGGATCGACGGCGGGAGCGGTTCCGCTATCTCTCCGGAGACCGAGAGAAAGCAGAGGGAGAGAGGAAGGGATCGGAGGTTGTGAAGATGGCAGCGGAGGAGGAAAAGTGCGGGGGAAGACGACGACGATGGCGAGGTTAATAAGCGGCGGCTGAAGCTGAGGGTTTCCGAAACTGGGTCCGAACTTTGGTTTATTTGGGGGGGGGTGGGGGACCTGGGGTGGCACGCGCGAGGATTGGCGTGACGGCCGGGGGTGTTTTCGGTAAATCCGCGAGTATTTTGTGTTTTTGTTGACTTTGACTGGGAGTGTCGGGGTCTGTTTCGCCTTCCGGCTACTTTCCCCCGATGTCGCCGGCCCCGAGAGGCCGGGAAAGTCGCCGGCGGGTCGAAAGACGAGAATGCCCCCGTTCACGTTCGCTGGTTTCTGGGGGTGGGTGAGGGCGAAATCGGGATTACACCGGCATCCAGCTCGAGCCTTGGTTTTTCCTGATTGAATAAACGCCGAAGCTTGCGAAATAAGACTCGAGTTTTATATAAATATTGTCGCGAAGAGATCTCGTCTGACGGGAGATTTGCTGAATTCGTGTCATTTTGAAGTGATATCATTCGATCTCGCCTCCTCGTACATGCTAACACAAGAGAAATGTACATTGGCGAGGGTTTAATCATTAACCAATTTTCTAAAATATAATTATATCTTTATACACTTCTTTCGTATAAACTTATTGATGAAAGAAAATCACGACGGTCAGTTTGAGTAATATCCTATATCTTCAATCCTGAGAAAAGATTTGATTAATGATTTGATAATGAAGAAAATCTTTTTAACAATTCGCTTAATTCAAAAAGCGACGGACCAACCAACAACGGCGAATTAATCTTGGTTCATGCTCCACAAAGAGAGATTTTCGACGGACTCGGACAAACAATTTGATCTCTATTTTGTTTGTATTTGCTTTCCTTTGGTCTAGCTTTTAACTTTTGCCCTAAAATTTTGGAAACGACAAAAGTTTATTTTTGTAAAATAAAAAATAATTGTATATGACGATATCATTATGTCTCGAAAGATTTCCAATCACCAACCCATTAAAAAATATTTTGGACACAACCAAGATGTGTGTGAATGTCATCTTTTGGACTTTTTCCTGACTACCGGAAAAGTTCAAATCAATCTTGGCCATTACAGCAGAGGAAGAAAATGGATTATTGACTAAAGCTCCGCTTGCCCGATAAAAAAAAATTTAAAATTTCGTTTATCTCGCGAAAAATAAATATTAAAAAATATTTTTTAAAATTAATGTCTTGTATCATTTGAAATAATTAGTCGATAAAAAAAATTTTCATTTATAAGCGATACAAGCGATCGTTTTTTAACAAAATGCTTTCCGAATTATTTATTTTCGCAAAACAAAACAGAGCTTAAGAGCACTTATGAGTGGGCAGTAGGCCATGTTGGCCAAGGCATGACAAGGCCTAGAAAGCCGGAGCTCACCCTGTGTCATGCCCCCAAAAAAAAAGAAGGGGTCGAGCCTAGCATCCGTTCGCTTCCAAGCCAGTGCGCGAGCAGCGGCGGCATGTCATGCCCAAACGTCGTGAATTTCCAACCAAGGTGCTACCACGGGTGAGACGGGCTACCCCTCAAGAAAACCCCCCCTTGAAGCGATTGCAACGTCGGCCTCGAGGCGAAGAACATCCAGTGCTCGGCGGACATCCCAGATCTGGACCGGGGGCCCGATGGCGAGAAAAATCTCGTCCGCCCGCAAGTGGCCGGGAAAAAAAAAATTAATCCAGTGAATTCGGAGGGGAGAGTGGGGCCAATTCCCAAATAAAACGAAACGGATGGTCCCCCCTCGGAAAAAAAAAAAAACAGAAGCTTTGAATATTTGCTTCATTAGCAACCGTGAATCTCTTGCTCGTGACGCAAGCACATACGTTGTCCATCGATGTTGCCTCTGAATTTCCTCATTTTCTATCGATAATAATGGCGTCGAAGCTAAAGCTATTTTATCCAACTATTAAATCCCCCAATTGGTGTTCAATTCAATGACATTATCATGTGCTTAATCGAACGAGCTGCCACGACGCCACCACAACTATCATCAGTCCCAGTCTCCCTTGCTGGTTGACTACCCGACAAGTTTGTTTCGGTCAACGGTCCAGCACATGCCTTTTTATCTTCCGTTTTTGACAAATTCACGCTGAACCGGGAATCGGGAAAATTTGTCCCAAAAAAAAATCTTAAACTTATCCTGCAGCAGTCAATTCGCACAACTTTTTCATGTCAAGATTCTTAGTGCATTTTTATAGTGTTGCGCTTTTTTCGCTCCTTATTTGGTTTAGGCACTCTTTTTTTTTTTTTTTTTTGCATTTTAACCATACTATCGCTTGTATGGCTCACCACTTCTTTTATAATTCTACAAAAGTTATCCCTTTTTATTTTGCAGGTCCCATTTTCCTTCTTTTTCTTTCTTATCAAGCCTAAATTAGGGGTGAGCGCGGTTCCAAGGTAGAACCAGGAATCGGAGAACCGGACCCGGTGGATCCGGTTCGGTTCCAGGTTCCATGGACAGAGGGTCCGGTTCCCGGTTCCCCATTTTTAGGAACCGGCTGTTCCGGTTCCGGTTCCGGTTCCGGTTCCCGGTTCCTATAGGAACCGGAACCGAATCGGAACCGGGAACCGGAATCTGGAACCGGAAGAAACCCTCATTCAGTAATTCCCAAATGCTCCCTGCTCCTCTTGAATCACACCTTTGAAATTCCAAAGCATCCGTTTCGCCACACACGCACACCCCCCAAACCCATCCACAGACTCACTCACTCTCACACACACGCCACTCTCTCTCTACACTCTCACAATCGAACGAATCTCCGACGAGAAACGACGATTTCCTCACCGTTCGCTGGTCCTCCGTCTCGCGGCTGCGAACCCCTGCATTTCCCGGCGGATTCCTCCGGCAATCGCCCCGGATCAGCCCAAGGTGCACTTTCGGCGTTGTTCTCTCGATTCTGTGCTTGTTCGATTTTCCCTTCCGCGATGTCGAGCACCGAGCTCGATTTCGGCTCGGATCTTGGTCGTCGTTCGTTTTCGGTTCGGTTCGGTCAGTCGATTCTAGCCTTTTGCCTCGTGTTTGGCGGCGAAACGGGTCGACCGGTGCGTGTTTGGAAGCGCTAGTCAGTGCTCCGAGCTTCGCGCGTATGGAGCATTTCGAGTAGCTTCTGAGGAGAGCAAGCTGAGTTGGGGGTAATCATGGTGGTCCTTGGTGCCATGGTGCTGAATTGGGGGGAAATCCAGCTGCTGTGATCGAGATGCTCTTATTGGGTGTTTGGTGTCGTGGCTCAATTCCTTGTCTTGGGATCCATAGGGGTGCTGAGTTTGGGTCGATTGACGTGTTTGGTGTCGTGGCTTAGTTCCTTGTCTTGGGATCCATAGGGGTGCTGAGATGAGTAAGTGATGTTTATATCTTTATATATTGTAATTCCTTTTATATATCTAATAAGTGAATATTTTATTAATCTCTTATTTTTTTTTTAGATATGGATTGTCTTAATGAGGAGATTATCGTCGGTAAATAAAGTTTACGAGTTGAAGCGGAATGGATCAATGAATACATGTAGTGAGGCTTTCTAATACTTATTTTCTAGAGAGTTGTTGTTCTTGTTAAATTTTGTTTATTTTGTGAAGGGCAGGAAAAATGATTCAGCAATATGGAGAATTTGCCCATCTTTCATGCGAGAAAAAAAGATTGGGAAATGGAGGATGCTAATTTGTGATGTTGCATTGTTGCTACGATGCACCCTTTTGATATCTGGATGATTCTGTCACTGATTTGCTGCTTGTTTGGAGGCTAGTATATGTTGTGAAGAGCTGCAGTTTATATATATTCAGAAGTTGAACATTCTATGTACTATTGTGTGAGTGTGTTTGAGTTATGGTTAGCTGTTTAATGCACTCCCAATTCCATGTCTCCACATGTCGGTGCATGGGTTCCAGTGTTCATCCCAGCTCACTTCTTTTCTTTCTTTTCCTTTTCTCTTCCAAAACTTGGGCACTTTTGCACCTTATGTGAATGTGCACATTAACCGTGCTAGTGTGTTGCATTCTTATGGATGACTTAAGTCTAGGCAAGTAGAAATTAGTGATCTTACTTTTGAAAGTAACATGATTTGGAAATTAATGTACTATTAGCAGTTTAAATGGAGTTATAAGGATTTCTCAGTGGATTTAACTCATCTAGTTTCATATGACTATTTTTATATGATCTATGAAACAAGCACCAATAGCAATGTTTTGCTATTGGACATTAGTGCCCTTTATGAATCAGGGAAGGAGGTAACAACCATCCCTTGCCACCCCCTCCATTTTTCTCTATTAACAAACAAACTTTTCCCTTGCATTTACGAGCTATATCCTGAAATGTATGAACTCATGCAAATATTGAGGTTAGATAGAGTAAAACACAGTTTTTGGTGACAATTGTGTGCAATGAGATGTTGGAGTTGTATTATGATGTGGAAATGTAGTAATTCAACTCAAAGTTAGTTGATTTCTATAGTTAATTGGTATGATACTTTGATTTAGGTTCTTTCATTCGGATATGATAATATCTTACTGCATAAAGACCACTAGTAAAAGTTCAAGTGCTCTTGGCTAATATGTTCTCATATTGTTTGCTTGGCAGGAAAAGAGCAACTCCAATGGGTACCATGCATTTGCTCCTCGGCGAACAACAATTATGTCTAATGACTGAAACTTATCTCTTTTAGTACGAATGTCTTCATTTCAAATGTTTAAATTCATAGAAGTAGGATTTAGAGGAATTTGTGATGTCCTCTTGCACGGCAGCAGCATCCATTTCATTTTGTGATGTCCTCTAACAAGTCTAGTGACTGAAACTTGGTGACAAGTCTAGTGACTTTTGTTATGTTTCCTCTCTTTTATCTAATGAAATTCCTTGCCAAACAGCAGCCAATTCTGTTTCCTCTGTTGATAATTTTGTTTGTTTTGTATTCTCTCTTATTCGGTATTATTGCATTCATTTTTCGTTTTGTTTAACTAAAAATGAAATAAAAAAAAGGAACCTGTTGGACCCTGGAACCGACCCTGAAACCTGTGACAGGGTAGGTTCCAGGTTCCACGTTCTGACGGGTAGGTTCCAGGTTCCTCATTTTGAGGAACCTGTACCCGAGGGTAGGTTCCAGGTTCTGGGCGGAACCTACCCGGAACCTGGAACCGCTCACCCCTAGCCTAAATCGTCTCTCTGTTTTCTCTCCCATTCTCTTCTTTCTGCGTCTCCCTACTCGAATATCTATCATGCCAATCCGTCATCCTCCATACTTTCGCTAGCACCAACATTGTTCTCAACCCAACGAGCCCGTTTTCTTCGCCACACGCAGCATGAATAATTCCGTACTTGTGAGGGGGTCTCTGAGGTTTTGTGGACCGACGGATTGTTGTTCGAATAATTCCGTATTTGCTTCGATTTGTTTCATGAGCATGTTAGGGAGATCTTTGCTCTAATTATCGATTTAGAAGCACAAGCTAGAAGGAAAACACATTGTTGTCCATGGTCTTTGGCTTTTTGTCTCACGATGAATTGGAGAGAGAGATAAATGGCTCGATCATCCATGGAGGACCACCTGATATCAATCTCCCTTTGTCATCAAGGCCTAGCCCACCTTCTCTGCTTTGGAACGAACCTTGTGATATTTTAAATGTTGTTTGGGACCCCAACTTTACCGAATAGAGATGAGTGTTAATATCCTAAAAGTGGGGCATAAGAGTAACAAGCCCCTTGATGGTGCGTGGAGGGCCTGGTTTTTCTCTAGTTTCTACTTTAGGCCTATTTTGAATGAAAAATCAAAGTCCAAAATAGTTCAGGACTGTAATGGTGTGTCTGGCATTGAGAAATCAAACTTGCTGCTCAATGCTTTTTTGGTTTAGCACAACATGGAAAACATTTACATGTGGGTTTTCAAGGAAAGGCCTGAAAATGCTCTCGGCAAAATGTAGCTGAGAAGTTACATGAACGGGCATAGTCGGTAAGGGGAGCGTTCATTTCCCTTTAGTGTGGATAGGGTTTTTGTGCGTTCTCACAAGATGCAGAGGAAGCACTACCGTGGCCTCTCCAATCCCCATTGCGTTCATGGGATTGAAATTGTACGGTGAGCCTAATGCTGGTGCCAGGGAAAGTGTGGAGGACAACAGGGTTGGCATCACATGGAGGTGTAGAAAAGAGAGTATGGCAGAGAAAACGGAGAGATGATTTAGGCGTGAAAAAAAAAGAAAAGAAGGAAAATGAGACCCGCAAGAAAAAAAAAAGAAGAAACAAAATAAAAAGGATCAGCTTTGTAGAGTTATAAGAGAAATGGTGGCCATACAAGGGATAATATGGTCAAAACACAAAGAAAAAGAGTATCTAAGCCAAATAAGGAGTGGAAAAAGCGCGGTCCTTTTTATATACTCCTATAATGCCTTACGTGTTTTGTGGTAAAGTGTTTCGTCAATAGTGAGGGTAAAAACACAAATTCTTCGATATAGCAAAGAAAGAGACTTGATATTTTGTTTAGATGAATTTAATCATAAGGGTCGAAATAAGCCCCACCCTACTTTTTATTGATCAATTATCTTTTGCATCCACATACCGTTTAAATAGACATTATGAGTATGCAATATTTGTAATTTGACCTTTTCTTTTTCATTGAGGACTTTTACCCTCTAGCTTAATTATGTTTCTCTTCCCTATAATATATTATTTGTTCTATTGATGTATTCATCAATAGAACAATTTGATGTATTCATCAAATTTTAACAATTTGGACATCTTAATATTATTTTCTGATGTTTAAATATCTTTTACTAATACTTTTGTTAATTTGTCTTTCTCCATTTTCTTTATTTTTTTCAATTTTTGTATAGAGTGGTAAACGAGAGATTCCATATAAATATATAAATGAAAATACACTTTTACCCCTTAAAAGTCATTGCATATTCTAACGGGCAATGTAATGGAGGATTAGCGGCCGTAACAAAAAATAGTTCGGCGAGGTAATGTGTAACATTAAAAAAGTTCCGGGTAAATGTGTACCGACCGCAAATATCCGGTGGAGCTTTTGAGTAATTCCCCCATTTTTCTTTTTTTCTGGATTTATTTTTTCTCTTGTTGGGCTATGTCTTTAGGCCCAACTATTCCACGTACAATTGATAAGCGAATATCTTATCTTTGAGCCCGGTTGCTATCCAGCATCCCCCATCATTGGGTGACTGCAGTGGGCCTCCGAGTAATTCCTAGATCCATCCCATGAATTGAGGATGTCATGCAATGGCAGCTCTTTTGTGTCGGGAAGATGACACAAACGATCCTTGAAATTTGACCCAATTTGCAACGTGGGTCGTGAATTTTTTAATTTGTTCGATATAGTCCTTGAACTTTAGTCTAATGTGTCATATGATCCCTAAACTTTTATTTTGTTCCATGCCGTCTTTGAACTTTAGGTACATGTGCAATTTATTCAATGTAGTCATTCCATTAATTCAAGTTCAAAGACTATATTGAATATATTCATATAGTTCGGAGACTACATTGAACATGTACCGAGAGTCCAAGGATCACATTGAACAAATTAAAAATTCAGGGACCACATTGAAAATTAGGCTGAAGTTCAAAGACGCTATTGAACAAATTAAAAGTTCATGGACCATATTGCAAATTGGACGAAAGTTCATGGATTGTTTGTGTCATCATTGGGCTTGAGTCGACATTCGCTTAGTCCCGATATTATCCACGCGGGTAGACATGGCCACGGTTCGGAATTGGCGGTTCCAGTTCGTGGCCATGTATGAACCGGAACCGGGGGTTCTGGGCCGGTTCCGGCCCGGTTCGAAACCGGCCAGTAAAAATTAAAAAATAAATTATGAAATTAAAAAATAATGAATTATCAAATTATGAAATAATGAATTATTCAATAAAAAATGTAATCAAAATGTACATTGTAATCAAATTTGGGGAAAAAAAGAGTTTCTCCACTTATCTGCAGTTTTTCTTTTTGTTAGGAACTGGGTGTTGGAACCGGAACCGGGCCCGTAGGCCACAGGCCGGTTCCGGTTCCGAACCGCGGGCCCGGTCAACGGGCTGGTCCCGAGTTCGACCCGGGCCGAAACCGGCCCGTGGCCATGTCTACACGTGGGGGTTTGATTTCCCGACACCCTTCTCTGATCTCATATTGCGGGCAAAGACGAGATATCATAAGGTTGGTGAGTGAGAACACGGGTCTTCTTCTAGATATCCGAAGATCGCGCGAGACTCGGAGAAAAGATGATGCTATGCTAGTGCGGTCGCAAAAGCCGGCACTTCTGGTTGAATCCAACGATATCGAGGCCATATACGCGACAAAATGTTCCAAACTTATTCTATGGTGAACGTTTTCACAATCGAATCATGTGCGTTTGGTGGGGGGGGAGATGATGAGCCATCATTATGGATGCTTCTTGAGAGGCGGAAGAGAAGGTGTCGAAAGTAATCATCACTCGATGCTTTCCCTATTCAATTCGAACCGTGTATTCGCGCCCGTTTGGATGCAAATATAATATAAGGTCGTGGATGAATCAATGCTTCGAGTGTGGGTAGGCCCAAAACAATCAATTGCGAATCCGCCCGGGGAGGAGAGTGATTTGAACATGCATTAATGATGCCTATGGATGATCACAAGGAATGAACGATTCATCCGACCATGGAGAACACTATCCACGTTTTCTATGAACGCGCAGCATTCTCGGCATTCATCGCAACCTCAAGAAAATTAACAAGATCCGATCTAGCGACGAAACATGCTAAGATAAGAAACACGGGACGAGGACAGAAGATTATGAATGTAAGTTTGACCGTTAGCAAGATTATGTTGCCGAGACTGCCTTGGTCGGGCACAAATGCTAGTCTCACGAATGCATTCGTTATCACGACGCTTCCCATCCGAAAGCCCTCGAGTCGCAGAGCTTCGCCGAGGCCGGCCCGCCTTGTATATCATCAACCCATGAACTACTTTTGCCAGCATCTCTTCACAGACGCTACCAAATCGAAGGGTTGGCGAGTGTTTATCTTTGTTCTGGTCAAATGCCTTTTCATCTGTCTATGCCCCGCTGCTTCCGGTCATCATCAAACCAAAAGCACGCCAGAAGAAGAAAACTAGATAAGTAAATGACAAGAGCTCGGACCAAACCAAAACGAGTCATTGACTTCCAATTTCGATGTCCACATTCGAAGACTTTATACAGGGCAGTCATTGACCAAACCGCAGAGAGCAAAACCCAAAAAGATTGACTGAACGACGATCTGCCTACTACGCTAAAACATCATATCATATCATATTCCAGTGGTCATCATCACAATATCTCCTATGTAAAAAACCTGTAATGAACCTCTATCAGTGAATACTTATACCAACCTAAAAAGATAGAACAAAGAAAACCCCGATGCCACCACCCCCTGACTTCTCGAGCCTTGCCCAAAACCCAACACAGAAAAAAGCAACAGCAAGATGATGACCGCCCCCCTCTCACTTCAGGCCCTGACCCGGCATCGAAATCGCAAGCTCCGGCCAAGCAAACCCGTCCCCGTCCACCAACCCTCCTCCGCCCTCCCCGCTCCCCATCTGCCACCCGTTGCCTCCCGCCGCCGTCGCCACCGGTCCCCCGCCGCCGCCGCCGCCGCCGTACACGCCTACGCCGTCGACGAAGCCGACTTCGCTGAAGGGCCAGACCGCCCTCCCGAACCCGTACCCCAGGCCGTCCAGCCCCGTCCCGAGCCCGCCCAGCGCCAAGAACCCTTGGCCCCCCTGCGAGCCGAGCAGAGAAGCGAAGCCCAGGTGACCGGGACAGACCCCGGGCCCCGCCGCATTCTCGCTCCTCTTCACCTGATCGCCCGAGCCCACTTCGGACTTCGCCTGGGCCAGGAGCAAGCCCGGGCTGTCTCCCTGCAGGGGGTCGTGGGTCACGGAGGAGGAGTTGCAGGAGTTGCAGGAAGGAGACGAGGACGGGGGCTGAGCCAACAATGAGCGGGGCCGCTTCGAAGAGGAGGCGGAGGCGGACACCGACTTGCGGGAGCCGCCGCCGACGGGGACGTTGCGGAGGGTGCCGCCCTGGGTCCAGTAGCGGCGGCAGGACTTGCAGAAGTGGCGGGGCTGGGAGAGGTTGTAGTTGTTGTAGTAGCAGAACTTGGTGTTGGTGGAGTCGCAGCGCGGGCAGGGCAGCGCCTCGGTCTGCGGCGGCGGGGGCGGCGGGTGGTGCAGGCCGGCTCCCCCGGCGGCGGCGGCGGAGGCCTGCGGCCGGGCCGGCCTGCGCTCGCTCGTGTCCGAAGGCATGTCTTCTCCCTCGCGGGCGGGCGTCGAGGAGTGTGTGGAGAGAGTGTTAAAAGCGAAGGCTTTGGAGAAGCAGAGAGAGGGAGAGAGAGAGAGAGAGAGTGGGGGTGGGAGACGTGAAGGAGAAGGGAGGAAAGAGCGTGGTGGAGGGGGCAGCGAGCGAGGTCGTAGCTTTAAGCGGGGGTTCCGCTGTACGATGTTGCCCTCCCCACCCCTCCCCAGGGAAGGACACGTGGCGCGGGGGGTTCCTTCGGGCTGAATTTCCTGTCGACCGGGGGTCTCCGGGGGAGGAGTGCGGAATCCGGTAGGTGCTGGCGTAGGGTAAGGCTCTCCTGGGGGCCCGCCTCCACGTGGCCGTTGTTCATTTTCGGCCAAAAAAAAGCACAAATAATGTCGGTAGGTTTATTATTATTATTATTATTTTATTTTTTTACTGGTTGGGGCTCAACGGGTGAAATTATACGCAGCATCATTGGAACTATATAGTATACCCTGCGGCGGAGCGATTGGGCTGCGGAAGTAGGCGACATAACAGCGATATTATGTTCGATATCAAGGATGCCGGAAAAGTCAGAGATGCAGACGACTGGTCCAACCACGGTGGCAGGAGGAGAGTAGAGCCCGTACACAATACCAAAGCGTAGCCCGCCTGTCCTGTCGACGACGAAGCGTTACTGGGACAAGGACGATGCGAGCAGCAGCGCTGAGCATCGGGGAGGACGGATGGGGAGAAGAAGAGCAGAGGGAGGCGCGCGTTTCTGGGCGCAGGCGCCAGGGCAGAGAGAGAGGGAGAGGGACAACATGATTTGATGTCGGGCAGCGTGGGGAGCAATAATGGGGTTGGCTCTGTCTCTCTCTCTCTCTCTCTCTCTCTCTTCTCTGCCATCATTCAATTGCACGCCATCATCGCGTGATGCTCTGTGATTATTTCGTAGGGTGGGTGGTGGTGGTGCCACCTTCTTCTTCGATGCGGCGTCGTCGTACGTGCCCCCTTCCTGCGTTTCCTCGGCTGCGCGCCGGATTTCTCGGCCTCCACGATCTCTGCCTTTTCGATTGTCAGCTCTCTCTCTCTCTCTCTCTTCTTTAACGACGTTTTTCTTCTGTCCCCTGTTTCTTATCAACCGCCCGTAACGGTACTTCGGAAAATATCCGTTTGTCATGGGAAAACATAAAGAAGTCGCGCGAGTTCTTGAACTGCTGAATCACTGGACTGGACAGGTCTGGGGGGGCTGCGTTCGGAGCCGTTCGAACGAACGTGGTTTTCTTTCTTTGGCTTTGGCTAAGGTGAAGCGACCGGACCGGTCCGCACCCAACCCAGAGCCACTGCACAGTCCTGCTCGATGACACTCGGATTCAATCCTCGACCTGCGTACAGATCTTTTACTGGAATTGGACCGGCACGCGACCCAGCTGCACCACCCTCTCTGCTTCCCCCACACCGCACAGTCCAAAGATTCTCCCTCTCTCTCTCTCTCTCTCTCTCTCTCTCTGTGCAACGTCCCTTTCAGCTCCCCAAAAGCTGCGACCGCGCCTCGTCCTTTCGGGAGACTCCCCCCACCGACGGACGGACCATGCTTTCCTCGTTCCCGTTCCCTTCTGAAAAAACAAACAACTCCAAAAATCACATCAGCGTCGTCTCACGCATGTCCATGTCTTCCGATCTGCGTGCCGCTACTGTTCGACAGCTCCAGTTCCCAGGTAATAATCTCTTTTGTCCACACGGTAGTAGTAGGTGTCGTCTAGCGTCTGGGGGTCTCGCCTTCTCTTCTCCCCGGTTTCTTCGACGGGGCCCAAGATCGAGAATCACGAGGGACATGTTTTTCTTTAACCCGCGGGAGAGAATTTCGCTCCAAGTTCGGCGGTTTTATCCACATTAAATTTTTCGTACGAGGGCGACTGTCTTTTAATGTATGATGCATATGATCCTTAGGATGTTCAGACAGACTTCCGTGCAATAAAATATTATATCTCAGTGGAATTCCGACGCATCTTGTAATCATTCTCCTCCCTCCTTTGGACAACATGGTACATGTGTGGGGATTCATTTTCTGATTGGGCTCTTCTTGAAATAACAAAAGCACTTGAACCTCTTTAACAACATAGCACGGGCACGGCACGTGCACCGCCACTGCACCATCTGTTAATGGTTGGATCACGGGCCATCTCACACGACATGGGTCGGCCCAGATCACGTGTATTTTTGCTGTAATTTCTATCTAAATTCACGTAACTTACTGTAGACTTATCATGTTTTCGATCGATGAGTGCTCGCTTGATCCAATAGCCTCCACCTCCCCTAGGATTATAGATCCTCGCGAGTTTATAGAAACCCCCGTTGCCCTAGTGGCGATTTTCCATGCAAAGGGCATTACATAGATCCTACCTCGAGTTTGATTAAGAGGCTGAACATTTGGTTGGGTGTCTTCACTTCTTTTCATGGTACGCCCAAAAACATTTCTTTACGAACGACGTGGAGAGTCGAAATTGTTACTAGACTTGGGATCCATGTTAGTTCGCCTTCTCATTCATCTAATACAATTACACAGAAAGAGGGAACTGAACCGAGTTGGGTCATGTTTTGCTCCCTTCCTTACACGTACCGAACGTATCCCCGGAACAGCAGAAACTGATGAAACAACACACACACACCCAAGATCAGAACTTTACTTCTAGTCGAAAGATGTACAGTTTTGTGGCCATGGTCAGGTCACTTAAGTGCCTCCTAGGGCACATTTCAAGCTGTGTTGAACTTTCACCATAATCCAATAGATTGCTACATCTAGCAAAATTTTGTGCGCAATGTGCACGCTTCGCTTGCTGGCTTTCGGATCATATAATTTCAACTGGGGCAGAGTCAAAAATGAGCGGGCCAAATGACAAGTCGTCGGATCTTCAGTAACCGAGGAATGCTGGAGGTGGAGGCGAGGGGTACCGGGAGCCGATTTCTGGGGGCAGGATGATCGTTGGAGTTGGAGGTGGTGGAGGAGAAAAGACAGGAGGTGGTGGTGGGGAGTGTACTGGTGGCGGAGGCGACGAGACTGGCGGTGGTGGAGAATGAACCCTCGGCGGGGGTGAGAAAACCGATGGCGGCGGCGGCGGCGGCGACTGAACTAGAGGTGAAGGAGACTTGATCGGGGGTGGAGGTGAGTGAACAGGCGGTGGCGGTGGTAGGGGAGAGTGCACCGGTGGGGGAGGTGGGGAGTGCACCGGTGGAGGAGGAGAATGGATTGGTGGTGGCGGTGGAGGCGAATGTACAGGCGGCGGCGGGGAATGTACCGGCGGTGATGGTGAATGAACGGGAGGAGGAGGAGGAGATTGAACAGGCGGTGGCGGTGTCAATTTTGGTGGAGGAGACTTTGGAGAAGGCGGTGGATGCAGCTTGCGCTTGGGAGGGGATGGTGTTGAAGCTGGAGGCTTCGGATTCAACGACGGCGATGGCCCTCCACATCTGGATTTGCCGCAATCGACAGGCTTGCTCACCACCGGAACACAAGTCTTAGCAGGCCTTTGCCTTGGCCTATCAGGCAAGCAATTGTCTCTGTCATCCAAGAAAATGCCTCTCCTGGTAGGTGGCTCACAAGCTTGATCCTCACCATTGAAGTAGTTGTTTGAAAACGTGAAGTTCGTCAACTTCGGCAACTTGCAGATTCCTCCTGGAACGAACCCCGTCATCTTGTTCCCCGAGATATCCAACTGCTCGATCGCGGAAAGGCCCTGGAAGCTCTTTGGCAATGTACCTAAGAACGAATTCGATGCCACATCCAGGACCGTCGCGTTCCCAAGCATCCCGATCTCGGGCGGTAGACACCCAGAGAGGTCATTGTTCATGAAAATGACCTCATTCAATGTGTTAGCCATCTTGCCGATGCTTCTAGGAATGCACCCTTTCAGATCATTGTTGGCGACAACCACGACAGAGGCCCGGGAGTTCCCGAAATTTTCGGGGATCGTGGACGTGAACCGGTTGTTATTCAGGAAGATCGCGTCAAAGTCCTTATCGAAAAGCTGAGGCGGCAATTTCCCCTCGAAATCGTTGTACCTAATGTCGAGATACTTCAATTGCGGCAAGGACAAAACCACTTTCGGAAACAGTCCGACGAAACGGTTGTTGCTTACATCGAGCTCGTAAAGGATTGTGAGCTTCTCGAAGCTCTCAGGAATTACTCCGCAAAACCGGTTTGAGTTGATGTGGAAGAGAGCGAGATCGCCCAACAAACCAAGCTCCGGAGGAAGGTACCCTGCGATATCAGCACCGTTAAGGTCGACCCCGGCAACAACACTCAGGTTCGGGTCGTCAAGAGCCGGCGAGCAGAAGACGCCGTTGTAATCGCAAACACTGGGCCCTACCCAATTTCTGGTCGTGTTGAGAGGGTCAGAGTACATGGCCTTCTTCCACGCCTGGAGAGCGATGTACGCTCGCCTGAGCCTGGAATTGGCGAAAGTCTCATTCACATCGACCAAGTATTCATAATTACGGGGCAACGCAGCGTTCTCGCGGAGGGCCAAGAGCTGGCGGCCGGCGATCAGGGATGCTTCGGCGGTCGACAGGCAGGAGGCAAATGTAAAGTAGGAGGAGAACAGGAGGAGGAGAGCAAGCGAAAAGCAGCAGCGCGAGGCCTGCATTTTCCAGAAGGGCTGCGCCACCTTGGGAGGGAGGGCCAAGGTTGGTTCTTGCAATTCGCAGAGGATGAAGATGAATGACCCGACGTTCAAATTGCACAGATGAGAACTAACAAGCTGCGCACACGAGAGGCTCTGTCGACAGTGTCCCCCGCAGCTTTTGATCCCTCGACGGGAAGATCTGCTTCGGCGCCACGGGGATATGGCAGGTTTAGCTCTATTTTCGCCAATCCCGCAATGAATTAAAAGGTCTTTCCGGCGAAAATGGACACGTTTTGGCTACGGATATTCGTTCAGATAGGCATCGGTGCTCCTGTCTAAATCGCGCCTTCTGCGGTTGTCATCGTCGGCCCGAGGGATCAGCCGAGTTTCAGTTGCCCCCCATGTCTAAAAATGAACTCAGACGATGTCCCTGCCGAATCGCCACCGTCTTCTGCGGAGGGCTGCGCTTGATTTGAGGGTGGTTTTAGCTTGGAGAAGATAAACCATCCAATTCTTTTTCAGGATTTGGGGGTGATTAGCACCTGAATGCTATCTAAAAAAAAAACAGCAACCGACCAAATATACAGCGGTCCAAATTAGGATCTAGATTTGGTTAGAGGATGAAAATCCAAATTTCAGCTTATTTCTCCGGAAATAAATTTTCGGATTAATTTAGACATCCAATCTGTTCTTGCCACATTATTGTTATGAAGATGAGTTTCATGAGAAAAATATACACTTTTTAAGATTATTCACGACATTATTACAACACGGGATGAATGTGCTCGAGCAATAATCGTGCCGAACCAAAAACGTGCTTCTAAACTGAGTAACACGAGAGAGAATAAGATTGGTTTACAAAATTGATTTATTAAGTAACATGTTAAATTTTGGGCGACCCTTTAAATGAACGGATTATATTAAAAAAAAACTAATAATAACCGGAGACATTATCGGATAAGTCTGACATTTCTCTTCCAAATTTTCTAGTTAAATTAAGTGGATCATATTCAATGTGGAGACTTGAAATGCTATTTTAGCATCTATGGTGCTCGATCCATTGCATGAATCTGGTGGTGCTTGGGATCTCTAGTTCTAAAGCTCTATATGTACGAGTAGGACATGATCTTGATCTTAGAGGTGGTGCAAATGTGAGTTGGGTTGGATTTGGGCGACTCATAAATGGGTTCGATTCAAATTCATCTATTTAACTTACATTGGCCCGTTTATTTTTTCTAAACAATTTAGATGGTCCGTACCTAACCCAATCCAAATCCAACCAGAACTCACCGACATAACTCGCTTTTTTTTCACTATACCAATTAGGCATCGAGTAAATTTAAAACATATTAATAATAAAGGAAAAAACATCTCGATAGATTTCTATGGTGCAACTCTGCCCCTTCCTCCGCCGCCGGCACCGCCCCTTCTTACCAACGTCCTTCGCAGCCCTCGTCCAACGCTCCATCCTCCACAAACCTCGCCCACTTCACTCCGGTTTCAAAGCGCAGAGAGACTCGCGATTTCAAATAGTGAACAGCCGTAGCACACACGCACACATTGCTCAATCGAAAGACTTTGAAACCTCAAAGCACGAAGCGCTAGCAAGCACCCAGCACCACGACAGCACTCGTCCCCATTGTCTATTGGAATCATAACATGCTCTCATCGAGGACCTTCGCAACCGTGAGTCGCTCCTCGAGCACGAGCTTCGTACGAGATACGGCGTCCCTTGTCCAAGTGCTTGAGGGCATGATCTGCTCCAAGAATGCCGAGATTGCTAAGTTGGTGAAGCGAATCAAAGAACTCGACGCGTCGAACTAGAGGCTGAGGCGCAAGCTGGAGGTGTCCGGAGCTAGGTTGCAGGAAGAGAACACGGCAACTCGCGAGCGAAGAGGGAGAGAGAAAAGGAAGTTCGAGCCCCAATGGGTTGGAAATGGGTTTAGTTTAGAGCCAATTTAGATCCATTAATTTTAGGATTTTAGAACTCATTATGAGTCGGCTCTTCAAATTTGAAGTGACCCGTATATGGCCAATTCCAATAAATTTGGGTCATATATGGATTTAAAACCCATTTTAACAGGTTTACTTGATCCTAATGAGTTCCCCTCTAGCAAAATGGTCTGTTAACGAATTTGCATTTTAGTAATTAAGTAAGGAAAAATTTGCAGCTTGGATTACATGTCAAATGTGTATTCGATATTATCGAAATCGAACAGTATCTTCTTTTATTTTATTTTTTTTTAAACAAGGAGATAGTATCGTTAATTAGCCATTTTAAATTACAGGGTCTTGAAACAAATTTCAGCGTACAAGGCAAGAAAGGGGCGATTGAATCGCTAACAAAGAGACAACTAATCTTACCCTCCCTAACAACCAGGTCAAAAACAAAAGCGCGAGGTGCCTCAAGTTAACATTTTCTTTTTAAAATAAACTTAATAAGTGTCTCGAGATACTCGTTAACACCGCTGATCGGGCCCCGACTGATCTAGCTATGCTCACCCTTCCTCTCTTGGATTTCCTTCCTTCGATGGATCGGGCCCCGACCGATCAAAGCATGCGGGCCAGGCCCACCAGGCTACAATTCCCTAGCCCACCAAAAACAGCAAAAGCAAATTAGAGGATGCAAAAAAAATATCCGAGCACGTTGCATTCGAGTCTTCTTAATCTGATGATGAACATGAAGTTCGACAATTAATGCGTTCGAAAATGAAATGAGTAGCCCCACTCTGTCTTGAGTCCCACACTGTTCCTGTGGCTAATCATAGAGCGAGCAACGATGATCTTTGCGCGAGGAACAAAGCCAAACGAAACGCTACTCGATTGGCTTCAACTCCTCGAATTGACAATAGGTCAACAAAAGGTGATTAAGACAAGACCCCACTTCGAAGGATGTTTTTGAAAATTTGCATGGGGTTTGGTCTAAAATCTCTCGCGTCTCTCTCTCCCCTCTCTGATCTCGAGGATCGACGTCCGAGGAGCTTTTTTTTTGTCTTGAAGCTTTGGCGTGGCTCCCACTAGCTTTAGGGGTCAAGGCCCTCTTCATGATCCCCAGGAAGTGGATGGACTTTTACGGTAAAAAGGGGGAAGGGGTTTTGAATGGGAATTGACATCATGGGAAGGAACGATGAGGAAAAGAGCCAATTCAAAGACGCACCAAAAGCAAAAGTGGGAAAGCGATTCCCAAAGATGAAAGGGGGTGTTTGGTTGGGCTTTGCCAAAGAGCTTTGAGCCTCCAAAGTCCTTTGGGGGAATTATTTTGTGTTTGGCAAATCATTTTTGGAGTTCTTTGGCAAACGCTTGGCCTTCTCAAATGAAAGCCCAAGGTGGTCCGATCACCAGGCCAAAGATTCCACGAATGCTACCGTTTACATTTTTTTTTTTTTTTTTTGGGTTGAATCTGTTCTTCACCAGGCAGACGGCGAGGGCGGCTGGCGAGGGTGGCCGGCGAGGGAGAGCGGCCAACGAGGTCGCCTGGGGTTGGGCGACCGCCCGGGCGACGCGTCCCAGCGGCGGCCGCCCGGGTCGCGCGACCCGGGAGGCGTCGCCCGGGTCGTGCGACCCGGGCGACGCCGCCCTGGGTCGCGCGACCCAGGCGACGGCCGCCCGAGGTCGCGCAACCCAGCGACGCCGTCCCCAGTAGCGGCCGCTGGGTCGCGCGACCCAGCGACGGCCGCCGGGTCGCGCGACCCAGGCGACGGCCGCCTGGGTCGCGCGACCCGGCGACGGCCGCCGGGTCGCGCGACCCAGCGGCCATCGCCCGGGTCGTGCGACCTCCGCCGAGGGTCGCCTGGCCTCGGGCGACCGCCGGCGGCCGTAGGCCCTCGCCAGCGGCCGGCTCCGGCGACGGTAGGTTTTGTTTTTACCAAACACTATATTTTGGCCAAAATAGCTTTACAAAATATTTTTACCAAACACCATTTACATTTGCTCAATGGGCTTTCACTCAAAGGTATTTGCATTCCCCCAAGTAGCATTTTCAAAGTTGAACCAAACAGGCCCGAAAAAGGTGGTCCTCATTATTGAGCAGCCAGCAGTAGGGAGCTGCGTAACGTACTTTCGTGAAAGGGGGCATTATGAGGTTGGTGACGAGCTGGTAGTGTAGTGATACGGGGCTCTGTGTATTTTCTCGCCGACGCCGGAATCGTTGCGTCGAAATAATGGCCGTCGGAGTGGTGTCGCCTTTCTAAGCTTCGGATCTCCGACGGCGCAGAGGCAACGGATTCGACGACATCAATCGACTGTTGGGTCGCGAGTAAAATGCGTCGGCTATAACACTCCGACCGAATTCAAAAATGTCGGTGCGCTGTCTGCAGTACGGCCACCCCGTAGCGTCAGCGAATTATAGGCTCGAGAACCGGAGGCTGTCCGCTCAAATACCACAAATTGCGTGCCAATTACACTGGCTCTGAGCCACCTGTATAGATCAGAAGCCTTGAAAATAGTGGTTGTCGGAGTGGTGCCGATCTTTCTAGCTTCAGATCTCCGACAATGCAGCGGCAACGGATTCACCAACATCGATAGAATGTTGGGTCGCAAATAAAATTCGTCGGCTATAACACTCTAATGGAATTCAATAATGTTCGTGCGCTTTTTGCCGTACACTACCCTTGGCTCGATGAATTTTAGGCTCAAGAATCGAAGGTCGTCCGCTCAAATCCCGCAAACCGTGTGCCAATTACACTGGATCGGAGCCACCCGTATAGATCAAAAGCCTCGAACTTAACCAATTCACTGAGCTTGTAGGGTGTTTCACAGGTCTTCAAGCAGTCTGGTCTCGGACGCCCATCTCGTCGGATTGTGAAAAGAAAAAAAAAAAAACCAAAGAGCTTGTGCAGAGTGCTGGTTACGCAACGAGGGACGATTTAGTTTGGAACCTTTGTTACCTCTAAAACACCCCCCCGGCAAATCCCTCAAATGGCAGTCTTCACTTTGAAGCTTAACATGTTTAACTTAACTTTTAGAGCATCAGATCTTATGCTCATATAGAAAGTCCGACAGCTCGTTCTGCAGAGATGCATGGAAACTCTCGAACATTAAATTTTTCAATGTCTGCGAGATTTTAATTTTAGCACACGGTGCCAAGTTGCGAGATCAACTATTCGGGGTCGCGTTCGACGTTGTCGTGGATAATATAAGAACGCATGCATGTCAGGACGGGCAGCAATATATATTTTACTTGGCGACATGGTTGACGATGTGCGTTCTTATGAAGACATTATGATTAAATTAAACGTTCCCAACGTAACTCGTTATTTTATCTTCTTAATTAATTCATAAACCCAACGTATTTTTTTTATATATAAATTAGTCGGAGTCGTACCAAGCAAACGCAAATCTGTTGCTGACTTGATTACAGTGATCATCCCACCTTATATAAAGTAATTGTTAAATTAGGGTTTAGGTAACGAAGGGT